ACCACAGATATAATATAAAATACTACTAATTTTTATCTCGATTATATCGAAAAAGATAATTCGAATTAGTTAGTTTTAATTTACTATCGAATTAGTCGTATTATTTAATTCGAATTTTCCCAACACTAGTAATCAGTACTTAAAATTCTAGGGTGTACATCATGCGTTCAGCTTCACGACTTAATTACCTCTCGTGATACTTTATTTTTTGTTTATTTATTAAGGAGTCGTTGTAATTTTCCCTATGGCTTGTAAATTTTTAAGGGCAAGTTAGAAACACTTGCACTTTTTGTACAACTAAGTGGAATTGAGTTGGTGTTCGACAGTGGTCGCGCTATTAACTATTAGAACTCTGAACTCAATCGTTATCTCGAAATCGATCAGATTGTAGTTTTTTCAAAAACTTTCTTAATATTTCTGGTATATTTTCTTCACAGACAGTATGTAAAAATTTTTATAAATAAAAAGTTACACGATTGCTGAAAATTGCTATGCACTAAAAGTGAATGGATGTTTTTTTATTAATTTTTGAATGAGAAAAAAAGACAAGCCTATCTATTTTTTCTTATTTAAACATCTTATAGAAAATCCGAACTTCAAAATAAAAGATTCAATATCTAATGTTGTTCTTGAGTTATCGCGCGTTATGTGTTAAAAAGTTGAGTTTTTAATTTATTGCGAGTACTGACGTTTTCACGTTATAAAAAAATGGTTTATGGTTATTAAAAAACTGTCGTTATGAATCTTTAAAAAAATTTGTTATAGCCGAAATAGCTCCAATTATGACCCCATTAGCTAAACTGGTGATAAAAACTATGCTCGTTACCGTAGTTGAACTCATCTAAAAAATTTTTTAGCTGGAATAATAAATTATTATACAAGTTAGACCCTTCTGAAGATATCAATATATTTACTTTTGTTTAGAATTTTTACAGATTATACTTCCTATCACTTTTGGAATAATTATATAATCAATTTTTCGTATACTCGCTATTTAAACACGTGTATTTATGTATACTAGTTGTTTACGATAAAATGATGGTGGCAGCACCGGCGGAGAATGCATCAAGCCTATAAAACATAATTCTACTTTAATTACAGTTTTTGCAGCCCACATTTAAACGAATTCTATTTTTGATAAAATAAATGTCTGTCAGGGCCCGTAATTAAAAAATAATTTTTAATCGTTTAGCAACTAATTAGCACGTATTTAATAATACGAAGTGGGTAAAGTTAAAAATATTTTTTCTTCGAAAAAAACTTTTTGATAAAAATATTTGCCTTCAAATGAGGCAATCAACTTCGGATTATTTGAAATTAATTTTTAGCCGTTTTTAAGCTGGCAAAAAGAACCATTAAATTTGATTTACGTATTTTTGGCTTGGATGGTATATGTCAAAGGTCATTATACTTATATTAAATTTGCAATTTAAATACAATGTTGCTAGTGAGAATTGAATCAATTAATAATGAATTAGTAATATTATACAGGGTGTCAAAATATAGTGTACTAAACCTCATTGGGTGGTTTTGCAGATAAAAATAAAAAAAAAAAGTTATAATCCTTGATAGTATTTACAGTCCTTACAGCCCTCATTTGAAACATGTCCCAAAAATTTCAAGAAAAATAGTTTAACAAAGTTGGTTCAACAATATCTTAAAAATAAACAGAATATATTATTTTTATTTGCCATTTTGAGGGCTGTAACTTCCCCGGGATGTATCTTAAAGCATACCGGGTGTTGCATCGTCGGACGGGACATAGGAAATCCCATGTAAATTTTAATGGGGTCAATTATTAACTTGCCTAATTATTTTAGAGAATAATTCTATTTAGGTTTATTGAAGAGCACTAAAACCCACATTCAAAAGAATAACTTTAGATATTTTTGATTAGCTCGTTTATGAGTTATCGAAGATTTCTTTTTAAATATTTCTCCTTTCTTATGGCCCTGTATTTACTTATGAGCACCAGTCAAGGTAAAAGATAACTGTCAAATGAAGTTGTCATTTCAGAAATTTACCTATTTAGTGCTTTATTATTATTGAAAGCTCATTCCTACATCGGAAATCTTAAAGATGTATTTATAAATACACATTAATATGAATTAAAGTAAAATAAAGTAATCAATTACAAGGTTAATTATAGTATTATTACAATATTCAATAACTTATTAATTTAGCTACTATTAAATTGTTAGAACTTTAGGATTTAAGAAGATGTTCAAATATTCCTCCATCGACTGCTAGACAATAACCCAGGCGATCATAAAATTCTCTTCTTACATTCGCTAGTTGGTAAACTGAAATTCTATTGCATTCGGCAGAAATATCATTTTTTAACTCGTCTAGATTTGGGAATTTTTTATCCTTGTATATCCTGTTTTTTAAATGGCCCCAGAGAAAGAAATCATTTAGCCAAATATCAGGACACCTTGCTGGCCAATTTACTGTATGATTTAGGCCAATAACGTTTCCGTTAAAACTATTTTCTAAATATTCCCGAACAGCCAGGGTACTATGTGCCGGGCAGCCATCCATTTGGTACCAAACTTCCTGATTTTCCCTAGCGGCATCATGTAAAGCAGATAAAATATGATTTTCGAGTAGTTCCAAATAATATTCTGCATTTAAATTTCGCGTAAGGAATAATGGCCCGATAATATTGTGTCCGAATATCCCTGCCCAAACATTTACTTTCTGTGGATATTGCGTCCTTGTTTCGACAAACCTGTGTTGGTTTTCTTTGTTCCAATATCGATAATTTTGAACATTGGGTTCATTATTTAAGGTAAACGTGCATTCGTCAGTGAAACATATGTTTTTTAAAAATTCCCTATCCGTGTTTGCTCTTTCCATCGTATCAAAACAAAACGCCTGCCGCCGTATTTCATCCCCATCTCGTAGCTCTTGGTGCTTTTTATATTTGAAGGAATATTATTTATGTCGTTTCAAAATTCGAAACGCTGTAGTGTGATCTATTCCTATTTCACCCTCAAGTTTCCTTGTATTGATCTTTTCATCGTTCTCTTCCACGCACAATAAAACTTCCAAGTCAGTAGTAGAGTATCATTTCTTGCATATTCTCTTTGTTACTGCCTTGCTTCACATTTGCAATTATTTATTAGGGTACCTTTGGTCTCAAACCTCTGGATATTCCTTGCGATTGTAGATTTTCCAGGTATCGGTCTATTCGGATACAGAGCAGCAAACATGTCCGACACCTTTTGATAACTATTTCCTTGATAATACCATTTAATCATCAAAACTTTTTCTTCGGTGGCTAATATTTTCGATGTAGGTATGAGTTTTTAATAATAATAATAAAGCACTAAATAGATAAATTTCTGAAATGACAACTTCATTTGACAGTGATCTTTTACCTTGACTGGTGCTCATAAGTAAATACAGGGCCATAAGAAAGGAGAAATATTTAAAAAGAAATCGGCGATAACTCGTAAACGGGCTAATCAAAAATATCTAAAGTTATTCTTTTGGATGTGGGTTTTTGTGCTCTTTAATAAACCTAAATAGAATTATTCTCTAAAATAATTAGGGAAGCCAATAATTGAACCCATTAAAATTTACATGGGATTTCCTATGTCCCGCTCGACGATGCAACACCCGGTATATTATGTTCATAAGAATTTTTGCATTATTTTATATGTAGAATCACCCATTGAAATTTGGCCCACTATTTTTGTAACAACCTGTGTAATTATCATATTAATTGTAAAATACATTGTAAATAATATTATATTTATATACAGGGTGTTTCAAAACAAATGCGAAAAACTTTAGGGGGTGATTCCTTGTTCAAAATAAAGGGTAGTTTGCTTTATAAATGTTGGGTCAAAAGTCAACCATTAGGGAGATATCGCGGTACAAATATGGCGGAAAATTAATGTTTTTATTTCTTATCTTGAAAACAAAAAGAGATAGACTAATGAAATTTTATGGAAGCATTACTGTTATGAAAACACACTTTCAGGTAATTTTTTTACTTTTTTAAAATGAGTGGAAGGGGTTGAAATAAACTACCCATATCATTCTTGTTAACGAAATTTAAAGAAAAATCTTATCAAACACATGCAAATGCTTTAATTTGGATAGTTTAGTTTGTTTAGAAACTTTTTTATCTCTTGTGTTTCTTTGATAAAACTCACCGATTTGAAATTAAAAAATAAAATGTAAAGCATTACATGTCAGGACAAAAAACATTTTTAGATTAAGAATCTAGTGATAATAACGTTATAATAATCATCTGATAATAATGTATTGCAGTAGAGTAATGTCAAATAAAATAATATTAGGAACATCCTAAAAAGTAACAGCGGCCGACTAGATTTTTTCCTAAAAAAATTACAGCAGCCCACTAGATTCTTTATCAGAAAATGTTTTTTGTCCTGACATGTAATGCTTTACATTTTATTTTTTAATTTCAAATCGGTGAGTTTTATCAAAAAAATACAAGAGATAAAAAAGTTTCTAAACAAACTAAACTATCCAAATCAATTTTTTTGCATGTGTTTGATAAGATTTTTCTTTAAATTTCGTTAACAAGAATGATAGGGTAGTTTATTTCAACCCTTCCACTCATTTTAAAAAGTGAAAAAATTACCAGAAAGTGTCTTTTCATAACAGTAATGCTTCCATAAAATTTTATTACTCTATCTCTTTTCGTTTTCAAGATAAAAAATAAAAACATTATTTTTCCGCCATCTTTGTACCGCGATATCTCCCTAATGGTTGACTTTTGACCCAACGTTTATGAAGCAAACTACCCTTTATTTTGAACAAGGAATCGCCCCCTGAAATTTTTCGTATTTGTTTTGAAACACCCTGTATATAGTATACAGGCATTTATAGTATACAGACATTGCTTCTTTATTATGAAAATTTTAAAGTTGAAGAAGGCGCTAAAGTTGTCAGCCCTAGTTATAAAATGAACCTGTTTGGTTTGCTCCTCAATTTCCTTATTCTTTATGTCATTGTTTCAGGATAGTATCTACGAGCCTGTATCGTGTGGAACAGCTTATTTGAAGAACTTCAGAAACGACAGAGAATATAAAAATTCTCGTTTGACTGGAATGGAAATGTTCAAGAATTTCAAAGAAGCGAGACCATTTGAACAAACAAGGAATAATTTACACTTGTGAGTGCTATTTACTTTAGAAGGAGACGTTTAATAGTGAATACTGTTTTGTAAAGGTGCCAATTCTATACTCTTAAAATCTTGATGATGTTCTGTAACACTTAACGTATATTTGTCGTTAGTATATATGCACTAACAAGTACCAATTGCATTTAAGGATATTTCGAATAGTTTATAAAAGAGCTAAAATATATTGTAAAGACAATAAAGATAAGTAAATATGTAGTTCAAAATATTTTTATTAGAAACATTTAAAAAGAAAATGATTATGTTTCTGTTTTTTATATTTAATATTTTCAAAAAAAATAGTTTAGTATTACAGCATTCTGCGTCCTGTTATATTCTTTAATGTATAGTATAAATAAATTGACTTATCATCGAGTTCATTACTAAAGATATCTCAATATTAACATTACATTCTCTAAGTATAGTCTGAATCTCTAAAACGCAAACCGAAGATACAGAATGATTATTTTTATTTACTAAATAAATATATTTGTTTTTAAAACATTCGTACTTTTGTATAAATATTATGAAAAGAGATTTAAAAAAAAGATAAAATGTAGATCATATACTTATATATTATGACCTGCAACATATTCTATTAACTATTTAAATTATTAAGCTAAATAATTGTAAAAATGAAATAGTATATAAAATAATTAAATAAATGTTGCTCAAATTAATGTATATTCTATTTAGATTCTAACTGCTGACTTAGGGGGGAAGGGGGGAGATGGTTTAAATTTTTAAATCTAGTATATCTTAAGCTGCTATTTACTGAATGTCTCAAAACATCTAGATGTAATATTTTCTCTTTACTCTCATACGCACATAATAAGTTGAAAAACAAATATTTGTTAGAATTATTGTAAATCGTTTCATTTTTTTGGTTTCAAAATGGTAAACATTTATAAATACATGTTTTATTATAAAAACAGAAAAAAAAATGTTTAAATAACAATTTAAAAACAATAATTGTTTAATTAATGCTTATCTACACATACAGGGTGTCAAAAAATAGTGTATCTAACTTCCTTTAAGCTACATTCTGTTTACGTATAAAATAATATTATTCTTCTTGATTTCGCTCATACTAAAATCGATGCATCGTAATCATTAAACGCAAATATCTTGAAAACCGTTCACTGTTTCGAACTAAATGAAGAGCACCCTCTTTACGTAAAAAAGTTCTAAGCTTTAATTTTCATTTATTGAATTACTGTATCAGGATAAAAAAAAACTACCGCCAGTAGTACCTTCTACCCTAAAGAAAAGTACTACCGGAAAGTACTCTTTCAGGGCTGTTACGGAATTTTACACTGTCGCCATTCGATTTGATATTAAAATGTGTGTAAGAGTACCAAATTTCAAGAAAGACGATTTACCAATGTACTTAAAAATAAACAAAACATATTAATTTTGTATAGGCAGCGTAATTATTATTTTTATATTAATTTTATTTACCATTTCAAGGGCTGGAACTTCCCCGGTAAGCATTTTAGGGCATTGAAACTTTTTGTCTTATTTTATATTTTTATCCATATACATACACTATTGTTTTGACACCCTGTATTGTAAACCGATACTTAACTTTTTTAATTATAATAACAGCAGAAGTAAAATCATTATAATAAAAAAATTAGCATAGTGATATTTTTCATCTAACTTACTATAAACCTATTGAACAAAAATGATGAACCAATATTGACATGCGTCTCTTTACAAAGTGTTTTATATGTGGTATTAAATATATATTTAAATCTAATTTTAATTTAAATATTAATAATTGTTGTACAGTAACTGTCTTGATATTATCTGACTGTGAATATTCTATGGCATTTTGTTTAAATTTAATAAATATATTTTTGCTTGTTATAATGAATGATTTAATTGTTTTTTTTTATTAAAATCCTTTTACCTAGTCTTAATTTTTCTTACAGAAGAAAGTTTATAAATTCATGTACAGAGTCAAAGGTAAGTATATTTTTGTTGCAAAACTTTAAATATTTTTTAAGTAGATATTAATACAGAATTTTTTTTAATAATTAGAATATATTGAGCAGAAGCATAACAGTCAATCGTTTATTCAAATTATTTTTTATCTCTACATATTTTTATTTAAAGCACTTAACTTAAATTCGTACTTGGTCAATGTGTTTATACAACTGCGAGGAAGGGGCGTTTCACTGTTGGAATTCCATGTATATTTTCTTGGCAGTCGTTGGCAGTCGTTGGCATCAGTCGACTATAATTATATGGCAGTGTTCTTCACAGTCATTGGCAGTAAAATGGCATTTTGGCAGTACATTTACATTGCTCGCCCAGGTGAGACACCATTCGACAAACTTATAGTGAGGTATTTTGTGATTTTTATTCACGCATCTAACTATATAAAAAAGTTTTTCAAAAAATCATAAAAATAAATAATATTAAGTAATAAAATGTATACAGGGTGTTGCATCGTCGGACGGGAGATAGGAAATCCCATGTAAATTTTAATGGGGTCAATAATTATTGGTTCGTTAATTATTTTAGAGAATAATTCTATTTAGGTTCATTGAAGAGCACTAAAACCCACATCCGAAAGAATAACTTTAGATATTTTTGATTAGCTCGTTTACGAGTTATCGCCGATTTCTTTTTAAATATTTCTCCTTTCTTATGGTCCTGTATTTACTTATAAGCACCAGTCAAGGTAAAAGATAACTGTCAAATGAAGTTGTCATTTCAGAAATTTACCTATTTACCTATTTAGTGCTTTATTATTATTGAAAACTCATTCCTACATCGGAAATGTTAAAGATGTATTCATAAATACAAATTAATATGAATTAAAGTAAAATAAAGTAATCAATTACAAGGTTAATTATAGTATTATTACAATATTCAATAACTTATTAATTTAGGTACTATTAAATTGTTAGAACTTTAGGATTTAAGAAGATAAATATTTTATTAATAAATAAAATAGGAGTGCCATTTGTCATATTGTCAAATGTATAAAAAGCACTTAGCATCAATTGTTCAAATTTAACCTGTATTGGCTATGTTTCTATGATAACTGGCCAGAATTCATTCAAATAACTCTGTTTAGTATTAAACGACATTATGGAGCGTAGACATCTTAACAGAGGCGAAATGCTAAGGGCCATGGGTATGCTCGAAGTTTCCTGTAAAATCCAACTAAAGCAGCTAAAATATTTTGGACATATAATGAGGAAAAGTCCGGACAATATGGAAAGACTCATAATTCAAGGCAAGGTGAAGGGACGTAGACCACGTGGCCGATCTCCAACTCGATGGATAGACCAGATCACGACTAGCTGTAGCAAGCCAATGCACGATGTCATCGAGATGACAAAAGACAGAGGCGCATGGAGAAAAATCATCCATGATGTTACGCTGACCACTACACTCCCTAATGGGGGTTAGGACTGAAAAGAGATGCTCGAAGCTGGAATGCGCCAAATCGACGTAGCTAGAGCATTAAATACAACGCAAAGTGTAATATCGCGATTAAGTGCACGCTACCGTGAAAGTGGTGATGTTGCTGAAAGGCACACAGGGCGACATCGCGACACCCCTCAGCAAGATCATTTTTTACAATTAAATGCTCGACGCCGACCGACTCTTACAGCACCAGAGCTTAGTTTAATTCTCCAGGAAACACATAATGTAACCGTTAGTTCTGACACTGTTCGCAATAGATTAAGAGAGGTCAACTTAAGAAGCAGACGCCCCTGGAGAGCTCAACCCTTAACGAGAGGAAATCGAGAGGTACGATATTTGTGTGCTCAAGATCATATTCAGTGGTCGAATGAACAATGGGCCAATGTTCTCTTCACGGATGAGTCACGCTTTGGAATTCATCCAGATTCGAGAAGGCTTAGGGTATGGAGTGAACCGAGAAATCTTATTCGGTTGGATCATGTTCAGAAAGTGCACACTTATCAAGGTGGAACAGTTATGGTCTGGGGAGGAGTCCAGTTAGGCCGAAAACCCGATCTCGTTTTTCTTGAAAGGTTTCTAACAGGAATCACAAATGGTGATTTAATTCTTGAGCCTGTCGTGTTACCATATGCCAATGATTTTGGGAGAAACTTCATTCTCATGCATGACAATGCACGGCCTCATACCGCCAGAGTGGTAAGTGCGTTTATCAATGCTCATCAATTAAACATCTTACCCTGGCCGGCACAATCTCCTGACCTCAACCCCATCGAGCACGTATGGGACGCGGTCCAAAGAAGAATTTTGAGAATGGGTGTGCTTAAATATTCCTCCATCGACTGCTAGACCATAACCCAGGCGATCATAAAATTCTCTTCTTACATTCGCTAGTTGGTAAACTGAAATTCTATTGCATTCGGCAGAAATAGCATTTTTTAACTCGTCTAGAATTGGGTATTTTTTATCCTTGTATATCCTGTTTTTTAAATGGCCCGAGAGAAAGAAATCATTTGGCGAAATATCAGGAGACCTTGCTGGCCAATTTACTGTATTATTTAGGCCAATAACGTTTCCGTTAAAACTATTGTCTAAATATTCCCGAACAGCCAGGGTACTATGTGCCGGGCAGCCATCCATTTGGTACCAAACTTCCTGATTTTCCCTAGCGGCATCATGTAAAGCTGGTAAAATATTATTTTCGAGTAGTTCCAAATAATATTCTGCATTTAAATTTCGCGTAAGAAATAATGGCCCGATAATATTGTGTCCGAATATCCCTGCCCAAACATTTACTTTCTGTGGATATTGCGTCCTTGTTTCGACAAACCTGTGTTGGTTTTCTTTGTTCCAATATCGATCATTTTGAACATTGGGTTCATTATTTAAAGTAAACGTGCATTCGTCAGTGAAACATATGTTTTATAAAAATTCCCTCTCCGTGTTTGCTCTTTCCATCATATCAAAACAAAACGCCTGCCGCCGTATTTCCTCCCCATCTCGTAGCTCTAGGTGCTTTTCATATTTGAAGGAATAGTATTTATGTCGTTTCAAAATTCGAAACGCTGTAGTGTGATCTATTCCTATTTCATCCTCAAGTTTCTTTGTGCTGATCTTTCCATCGTTCTCTTCCACGCACAATAAGACTTCCAGGTCGGCATCATTTCTTCGATTGTAGATTTTCCAGGTATCGGTCTATTCGGATACAGAGCAGCAAACATGTCCGACACCTTTTGATAACTATTTCTTTAATAATACCATTTCATCATTCGATTCCATCGTTTCGATTCCATTCGATTTCCATCAATACTTTTTCTTCGGTAGTGTAATTCACGGCTCATATTTTCGATGTAGGTATGAGTTTTTAATAATAATAATAAAGCACTAAATAGATAAATTTCTGAAATGACAACTTCATTTGACAGTTATCTTTTACCTTGACTGGTGCTTATAAGTAAATACAGGGCCATAAGAAAGGAGAAATATTTAAAAAGAAATCGGCGATAACTCTTAAACGGGCTGATCAAAAATATCTAAAGTTATTCTTTTGAATGTGGGTTTTAGTGCTCTTCAATAAACGTAATAGAATTATTCTCTAAAATAATTAGGGAAGCCAATAATTGACACCATTAAAATTTACATGGGATTTCCTATGTCCCGCTCGACGATGCTACACCCGGTACAGGGTGGTAACAATTTCTATGCTCAACATGGGCATCTCGGAAACTACGAGAGATACGAATTCGGTTAAATGGGACAATGTTGCGTAAGTTTGAAAACACATATGAAGAAAACCCCGGTATCTTGATTAGTTTCAGATTTATGTAAAAAAATGAAAATTATACGTTTATTTTAAATGGCAATATCTCCAGAACTATTGTATCTATTGCAACGTAAGTTGGTAGTTAGATATTTTTGACCTCGGCCAATTAAATGCCGTTTTCAAAAAATTTCTAAGACTTCTAGATTTCGCACAACAACATTCAAGTTTTTG